CAGAGCCCAGCAGAGCCACACAGTTAGGTGCAGAGAACTTCCCAGCTCTCACGGTCATCCGCCGATGTTTATCATAAAAGGAACTTAAGTTAGTAAAGCCTTTCCATTCTCAGCCCTGACCAGGTAGCTCAGTTGGTTAGAGCAATGACCCAATGCACCAAGGTTACTGGTTTGATCCTCAGTCAGGGAACATACAGGAATCAGCCAATGAATGCATGAATAAGTGGAACAATAAATCAATGTCTCACATGCTTTCTCCCTCCCCCTCTCCCATCCTTTTTCTCTCTCAAATCAATCAGTTTTTTAAACCTTCAAAAAACCCTTTTCTATCACCTTATAACTAATTCTGATTCCACCTCCAGAAAGAGAGGAATGGTTATTTCTAAGGTCTTCTTAACACAAACAAGACAATAGCCCAAATTCCTAAGAGACTTGACAAATGTCTATGTTGAGATGTCATACAAAGTCAAAGATCTAATGTTCCTAAAAAGGAAAAAGGGATGCCCTGGGTGGTGGGGATCAGTGATCGAGTGTCGGCCTATAAATCAAAGGGTCGTCGGTTTGATTCCCAGTCAGGGCACATGCCTGGGTTGCAGGCCAGGTCCCCAGTAGGGTATGTGTGAGAGGCAACCACACACTGATGTTTCTCTCACTCTCTTCCTCCCTCCCTTCCCCTCTCTAAATATAAATAAATAAAGCCTTTTTTAAAAAGGAAAATGGGTTCATAGAACCTAAAGATGATGAAGAATTGATTAATAAATAACTAAGGTCACCAAGTACGGGATGTGAAGTATTAGTAATAGTGAATTTTAATACATACTAATATTAATATCTGATTGCAGAACTTTCCACACACATTACGACATTTAGGTCCAACAACAGCCCCATTTTAAAGATGAAGAACACAAGAAGCTCTGTGATTTAAAATCACTGGTAGTTAGTGGCAAAGTTAAAATTTAACCTAACCTGTTTAAACCTTGGCTTTTACTCACTAAAGTAAACTACTTAAATCACAATGAATAGAAGAGTTTCAATAATAAAACAATTTAAAATGAAGAGATGTCTACTATTACGAATTTGTGTTTTGATAAAGAATACTGTTATTGCAAACTTCCCAAATCACTGTTTTCAACAGGACCCTACACAGAAGGGAGCGAGCACAGACCTCAGAACCATGCAACACAGATGGCCCACGACAGTGTCCTCCTGAAAAGGAAAGGCCCGGTGACAATGCACACAGGCGGTGGCATCTGTAGGCTGAAAGCAATCTGATTCAACTTTGAAGAACAAAAGCGTATTCTTCTAAGAAGAAATCAAAACACATTTCTGTGGAAAAAAGAACCCATTTTAACTGCACTGCCAAAATAAATCAGGCAGAGGGCACGTTAGCTCTAGCCGCTCCGGCCAAGGAGACGGGGCAGAAAGGACAGGCGAGGAGGGGGTGCCAGGGAATCGACTGTGTTTGTCGAAAAGAGAAGGAGGGAGGGCGGAACGCTGCCCCCGTCTGCATACCGCGGGGTGGAGAACACTGAGGCTAGTTTCTAGCATCAACCGCCTCACGAAAAAGGAGAAACCCGATCGATGAGTAGGTATATTCTGAATATCTGAATCAATTCAACAGCAAAACAAGGTAGTACAGTAAAAAACTTTGGCCAAAAACCCAAACTTACACAAAGACATTTTTCAGGGAAAAAGACAACTCTAAACCCTGCATTAGACAGTGCGATGCTCCCGTCCTTCTGTGCCAGCCCCACGCTAGGGCGCATCTTTCGGTTCAGTCCGAACCAGGGGTGTGGGCCCAGGAGGGAACGTTTCAGGATCTCTCCACTCGGAAAATCAAGTCATTAAATATCCTAAACGTGCTCTCTCTGGGGATGAGAAATAAATATTTTTAAAAAGCAGCAAAAAAATGTTGATGGATACATACACTTTTTAAAAGATCAATCATTGTCCCTTCCCCCCTTTTTCAGAGTCCATTCTCCATTGGGGTCACCAGACAGGGTCCCCCAGCAGGTCCCAACCCCAGCAGACTAACCACAGGACCAGCTTTCCCTGGACCAGGCTCAGTGGCGAAGCCTGTGGCTCCAGAAGCCAGGCTGCCTGGGGTGCAGTCTACACCCCACCACAGCCTTGCTGGTAACTCTAGACAAGTTCTTTCAACGGTCTTCATCTGCAAAATGGGTGCTAAGCAGTGCCTACCTGCTGGCTTTGTGAGGATGGAATCCGTTCATGTGTGCAATGTGCCTTTCAAAGCACGCCAGGTACATGGCAAACACTCAGTAAACGGTAGGTATTATAATTAATCACTCCATGACTCACAAGCACCCACAGTATTCGCTCTACTTTTGCGCTTGTTTGAAAATTTCCATAATAAAAATTTTTAAATTTTAATTCCAAAGTTAATTCCCAGTCGAAGGCTAGAAAAACGCATCTCGTTCCTGACCCATCGTGGGCTGACTTGGACTGGCAGCCCAGTACGAACGACTACCCTCTCCCAAGAGCCAGCTGTATACCAGACACTCTCGGCCTTAATCAATAAATTTCACATTCAAGGAAACAGGGAAGGGGGCGGTCAAGTACGACTGCCAAGTGGGCAAGCGAGGATATGAGCATACATCTTCTGATCAAATTCAATGCTGGTGGTTTTCTTACAAAATCTTGATGGTTTGCAGGAAATATCAAATTTAAAACAGTTAAATGTGGTCAGAACTTCAGAGGATTAGATCAAATTCCTGCAGTCAGATACAGGCAGAATTTGGGCCAAGAAAACCGGCGGAGCTATCCTGATTTCTTCTAATCCTAATTCTTTTAATCTCCCCAAATCTCGAGGTCCTCCTCCAGGCAGCAGTGCAAGCCAGGCTCCAGGACTTGAGCGAGGCTCCAGTCGGGCTGAGGAGCATGGTGAGCTCCAGCTGAAGATTCACATGCAGTCTTCTCACTGCAACCCATGCTCGCTTTGCCGCTAAACCGGCTGGGCCTTCCTCACCTGAGACTTGAATGGCCAGACGCCTCTCTTCCCAGCCAGGTAAGTCCTCGTGACTTCAATCAAAATGCTTCTCTGATTCACCAAAGTCACTCAGGATTTCAGGTCTAACATCTAAGCCACCATCTACCCCGTCCGATAAAACTTTCTACAATGATGGAAATGTTCTGCGTCTGCACTGCCCTCTATGACACACCCTAAGTTTTTAATTAATTTGAATTTCAGTAGCCACAGCCCAGGAGGTGTCTAGATCATTGGTGGAAACATTCCGCATTCGTGGGTCTAGGGCTGTGTCTTTATGAGCACCCTACGGTGGCAGGAAAGCTGGTCTCGTAACCAGAGACCCAGGTTCACATCAGCTCCTCCTCCAGCTCTGTGACCCTGAACGTGTAGCTTATCACTTCTATTCATTGGTTTCTTGTCTATAAAACTGTTAGTACCCACCCCACTAGGAGATGTTTATAATGGAAACATGCAAGATACATACCACATGTCTAGAAGACAAGAATACTGAACAGACATTGGCTCCTTTCATTATTATCTTCATCCTCCTCTTCCTCTTCCTAAATTCCTCCTGGTTGCTTTCCTAAAGCACCAGTAACTGGCTGAGAAGCCAAAGACAGATCTCTGCACTGTTTGCTGTCTTTAAAGGAAGCCCCTATTCAGCTCCTAAACTCAGAGGAAGGGGCAGCCCTCCCCCAAGGCAAGACTGTCAGAACCAGCACTGGGACGCTCTCCGAGACCCTATGTCCACAGAACTCAGGAGCACACCCTTCCAGGTTTCTTCCAGGCCGTCCCCAACCCTCCAGGAGCCTGGGCAGATTATCAGAGGAGCTTCACTCAAAAGCCACTTCCTTCCCCTACTCAGCCACACCAACCAAAAGTGAATGAACAAATAATAATCAGCAGCCGTGACCCAGCATTTCCTATATGCTGGGCCCTGGGCTCACGTGTTCTTTCCCAGAAATCTCACGGCCACCCTGAGGCAGGTAACACCATTTCCATTTTCCAGTGGGGCATAAAAAGCCAAGTACCTTGCCCAGGTCCCAGTGCTAGTGAGTGAAAAACTTTGAAAACTGGGATTCGAACCTGGCTGCCTGACTCCATCAGTCCAGTCCCCCATGTCCCGCCCGCCCTCCTTTTGCCTAAATGTTCAGGCTCAAGTCACAGCTTCTGGTCCATGACCTCACCTGAGTCCTCAGTCACCCCTTCATGTAGAATAAGAAACACGAAAAAGGATAAATGCTACTCAAACAAGAACAGAAAGGAAAGAGTAAGGTAAAAGCTAAGCCAATATCAAATTATCACAGGCATTTTTTTTTAAAGCAATAACTTCCAAAATTAAAATCGCCAAACCAAGAAGCCTTTACTTTTGCTTTCAAATTGCTTCAACATATTTGGAGGAAGGAGTAGTATTTCTACCTGGAGTATTTTAGAACAACGACGCATTAAAATAAAACTGGTTTCCAACTCAATTAATGGAAGAAGCTTGCCCTGGCCTTTTACAAATCACAGTTTACCTAGAAATGATGAAAAGATTATACTTCATTTGTCCTGCCTTGCTTTTTTTTTTAAAGGAAATTGAATATGCTGTTAACATTTAAAAACCTGTGGCGATTTCACATTTAATAAGTCCAGGCTCCCACCTTCCTTCTTCTGCATGAGATCTAGCAACATTAAGTGCCTTCTGCCCTGTGGCAATGTAAATTCACGGATGGGTTATGATTTCTGCTTTGCTGCAGACCCCACCCCTCCACAATGCCTCCTAAGTAATCCCATCTCCTCTGCATCACGCAGGCCAAGCCCCTGGAGGCAACCAAGCTGGTGGCCTCTTTATAAGAACCTTTGGACAAACATGGAATCACGCTCAGTCCTCTCCAGTCCAACCAGCCGCCAGAAAGCATCCTTGCCTCCCTGCCCAGTCATTCCTTTCTCCCCCACGCCCCAGAGAGGCTCTCAGTACCCTCTCCCCACCATGCACCGCCCCACCCCCAGTGTCACTGAAACGGCAACTCACCTACTCCTCTGTGCCGCTCCGCTCTCTCCTCACAGGTGTCGCAGGCACCTCCCCATTGAGGCTTTCAGTGCCGCTCATGGACATCAAACTCCTCCGCTCCTTTTGGTTCGACTTGTGCTCCACTTTTGTAACTCTAAACCTGAGGGAGAAAGGAGGGGATCTGAGGGGTTTTGCTTTTCCGGTGAGCAAGAATCAGGAGTGAATCAAAAATCACCCACGTAAAGGACCCCAAGTGAACTCAGCCGAAAGTTAGGATGTCAAGGGAAAACATGGAGGCAGCAGGAGGGGTTCCTGCCAGCATACGCCCTGCCCCCTGCCAAGCTCCCCGGCGGATTTTCACTCAGCATGTCACGGGCTGTGCCGGGTACTTCACAGAGCGTGGGAAGGGCACTACACACGTGGTACCCAGCCGCTACACAGCCTCAGGGTTGTGGTTTCTAACCATGACCTGGGCGTTAACATCAGGCTGGGCAAAAGCATGACCAGACTAATGGAATGACGTCACCAAACGCTCACATGGACACTCAGACTCCACCTTCGTCACAGACACACCTGGTGGAGGGTCCGCACGCACAGCGGGGGCCCCAACCATGGGTTTTTTCAGTATCAGTTGGTAGTAGGGTTTTTTCGTGTCTAGTTTTTGTCTGTTACTTTGGAAAGCAAATTTGGGTTAACCCTCATTCAAAATTAAAGAAAAATAAGGAAATTTAGGAAGAGATTGCCATTAAGGTGAAGAGAAAAGTTAAAGAAATTTACTCAATGTGACTGTTTTTCTAGTCTGTCCTCACCAAACCCTGAAGTCTTTCATAACAGTGTCTCTTCACTGCCTAAAAGTCCTTTAAAAGTATCTCACATAAATTCTTCTTTGTCCAAAATGAGATCACCCACCACCAGGAAGGCGGAGACTGAGGAAGTGAAAGGAGGATCGGGGAACGTCCCCAGATGGCTGTCCTGTCGACCGTGACCCTCCTTAAGTAGCACGTGCTGGAAAGCAGCCCACAGTGACTAGACGCCCCTCGTCCTGCACGGCCGAGAAAGAGGGGCATCTGGGGCATTCCAAAGAGCCATGCTGAATCTGGGTTGAAACTCTCAGCAGACTTTTCTTTAAAGCAAACAAAACACGCTTTGTCTAAACAAGCTACAGGTTCTCATTGCATTCCACATTCATAAATTCCCATGACTCTGCTTCTTAATAAAGCAGCGTGGTCATGAGACACACCGTTTTGCTGGAAGTGGCACGCAGCCCAGCGGTCATCCCTTCGTGGGTTGTGTAACGCACGGCGATCCAACCACATTAAAATAACAACGGCCAGTATTTCCCGAGTGCATTATGAATGCCAGAAACTGGCCTGCGTCTGGTACAGCAATCATCTTACAGAGTCTTCGCTGCAACTCAATGAGGTGTTATTGTCACCTCCATGTCATGAAGGGGGAGACTGAGGCACAGAGTTTGTAAGTAGTGACACCAAGACTCAAGCGAGGGAGACGCAATGAGTCCAGGCTGCACTTCCCAGAGTTTGTCAGTACCAGAGGAGGGTCGTGTACGCGCTACTGCCAGCTTTTGCAAGGTGCTTGCCCAGTCTGGTCCAGCACGTGTGCTCCTAACAAGTGCAGCATTAGCAACGCAGTTCCTGCGTCAGGCTCAACCACCCAAACAGCGGACACTGCAAAAATGCTCTGTATGGAGTCCAACTGATTCCTGACTTGAACTGCAAGATCTCCACATCACATGTGGGTCACAGGTAAATGGCACTTTGGATGGGGACACCCAGGACGCCAGTGAGGTGAGCTGAAAGAAGGCAGCCACAGGAACCCACGAGGAGCTGCCATGCTACAGACTGGACTGCAATGGGCCAGCTCCACCGCTTTTCTCCCTGGCACGCGGCTGGACATTCCCCAGGGCGTGGCAGTTAGGTGTGGCCCAGGGGTTGAGCTCCAGACAGTGGAATGTGAGTAGAGTGAAACGGGCCACTTCCCAGCCCACCTCACTGCAGCCTCCCGTGAGCCACCGCCGGGCACTCCCCCTCCAGCGAGCACGCCTGCCAGACACCGGCAGAAGGAACCAGGGACGCTACGGGACCACCTGAAGAGCCGCCCACTGATCTCTCCATCTCCACACATGAAATGTAAATTTCCACCCCCTACACAGCTGAGATTCGGGCTCCCACTGTCACAACAAGTTTGCTGGTCAGTGTTACGTGTCAGCTGGACCGGTGAAACGCTGTTTCTGGGCGTGTCTGTGAGGGTGTTTCCAGAAGAGATTAGCACTTGAACCCACAGTCTGAGTGAGGAAGATCACGGCCCACCCAATGTAGGTGGACAGCATCCTGGCCCTTGAGGGCCCAAATACAACAAAAAGGCGAAAGAAGGGTGAATCTTCCCTTTTTGCTGGAGCTGGGATGTACGTCTGTCTTCTCCCGCCCTCAGGCCTCAGACTGGGATTGGGACTTACACCATCAACTCCCCTGGTTCTCAGGCCTTTGGACTTGGACTGAACTATATATAACACCAGCTTTCCTGGGTCCCCAGCTCACAGCCAGCTGATTGCGGGAGCTCTTGGCCTCCACAATCACATGAGCAATTCTTACAATAAATCTCCTCTTATGTGTATTTGTATCTATCTTGTTGGTTCTGCTTCTCTGGAGAACCTTAATACAGCAAGTAATTAATGTTTTACCTCAATTCATAATCTGACACCTGATCTAGCAATAGCCAGCACTTGGGATTCCTCTGCTGTTGTTAAAATGAAGAACTCAGACCAGAAAATCCAGAGATATGACCTGAGCCCACCTAAGGAGAACACACTTTGCATTTAACAGGTCAGTACCCAGCAACCATGTGACACAAACCCGAAGCACCCACAGGACTCTTACCTGCCCACAGAGAGGACGGTGACCTCCCCTTGACGCCTTGGGCGGCCTTCTTTGGACTTGTTGGCGGGTCTTATGAAGTGCCACCGCTTGTGCCTACACCGATTACACACATCCCTCTCGACAGGACCGCCCACTGTGTGCAGGTGGTGGCCACAGATGTGCTTCCCTGGGGTGCCACCTGGTGACAAGGGCCCAGGGCTCACAGGTGGGCTCCCAGGAGTGCTGGGGGTCACAGGGCTAAGGTGGGAAGGACGAGAAAGGCAGAACTGGTTACTTAAAAGAAACACCAGCTAAGGCAATCTCTCCCCCTGTCACGAAAGAGGCAGGTTTAAATCAAAAGAAAAAAATGCCTCTTCCAATGAAAACAATGGGCTTTGTGAACTGGCCTTAGGCAGCAATTACTCAGCTCTTAGGACCAGGCAACGAAGGCTCATTTTAAACAGCAATAATGTGACTTACCACTTCCAGAGCGGAGCTAACTGGATGGATATAAACCGCTGCCTCTAATGAAGATGCACTCTTTGTCTTGAAAGTATTAGTTTTCTTTCGAAGCAACTGCTCTCCATTCTCATGCAATCTTACTAATTTCTCACACATAGCAAAGTGCCTACCTAGATTTCTAAGCAAGGAGATGCCCTGTAGGATTGATAAACTTAAATTCCAATCAAGTCATCCAATGACTTAAGGTACAATATTTGATCCAATTGGCTACTGCATCAAAAAAAGAAAGCTTTTAGGTCAAGATACGCAAAGTGATGCTCAGTGCTGATAGAGTTGGAAATAGTAATAATAGAAATAGTTAACAAAGTAGTCTAAACATTTGATATATGTTAATTTAATTCACTTTACAGAACCTTATGAGGTAGGCATCAATTTCCTTATTTAAAAAGTTTAAGGCTCAGAGTTTAATAAATCGCCCAAGGTCACACAGGTAGTAAGTAATGGGTCTGACTTACAAATCTAGGAAGTCTAATTCTGGAAACCCTGATCTTAATCATCATATAATGTGTCAGAAACAGGGGCATCACTTTGATAATCTGGAAGAAATCCAGGTAGACCACCCCAAAATATTAAAAAGCAGAAGTGTACAGGCCAGGGACTGGCTACTTTCAGAAGGCACATGTCAAGGCACTGGTCCACTAGAAAAGGAGGAATTAAAACAGGACAGGGCCGGCCCGACAGGGAAGCAGCCCTCTGATGTGGGTGGGATCAGTGCGAGCAGGTCGGTACAGGCGAGGTGACGCATCACGGCCGAGTCTGACACCTGGCGCTGTGCCGAGAGCCCCAAAGGCACGTGGGAGTCTCTCAAGGCATAAAGTACGCCCCCCGCTGTGGAACCTGCCCGCTGCACACTAAACAGAAGTGTGGCCGGTGGCTGAAAAGATAGTCTCAGATATCACAGACGACCAATAGCATCCTGGTACTCTTTAGGGATGCTCTTTACATCGTTCAAATAAAAACACACAGCTGCAGCTGTCTGGGGCAAAACCATGTTAAGTTAACACTACATAAGTAGAAGGTTGACTTCAAAAGTTAAACAATATTCATCCAACAAACATCTATCAAGTACCCGCTGGGTGTAAAGCCCAGTGGAGACACTACATGTTGCCCAAAGATGACAGAGGCAAACACGCCACGAGCTAACCGGTCCCAGACACCAGACGTCTGTGCTCAGGGCTCAGAAATCACAGCTCATGTGTCTCTATGAACTACACCACCGAGCTTCCTACGCTGACCTTCCTGCACTGAGTTACCTCGTTAAAGTGCAAAGCTAATGTGGCTGGATTGACGAGCACGTATTGCATATTTACAATAGGCTGGGGGCACCCCCCACAGAGTAAGCCGAAGAAGGTCCGATCCCCTTGCCATGTCACTCAGTCCCAGCTTGCCTTGCTGGCCCTTCTCGCTACTGTCCCTGACACGTTCCCCAGCCTCCCCGGACTGAACCTCTCCAGGTGCGCCCCACACTTTCACACTCCAGGGCCGTTTCTCCTCAACTTCCTCTGCCTACAAGCAGCCCCTGCTCTTGCCTCTGCTTGTCACACACCCGACTCAGATGGCACTCCTTTGGGAACTGCCAGCCTCCTGCTGGCCCCAGGGAACCCCGAGGGCACCTGGTCTTTACTCGTCCTACAGCACTCACACGCTCTCCCCGTGAGGCCCGCACTGGAATGCCCCCTGCCAGCAGGCACTCGATAAGTGCTCCTCACTGGAGAAATGAAAATGTGCGTAGAGATAAAGTTCTGTAATTAATTAGGAAGGACCAGGATGCCCAATGACCATAACTAAAAACTGGTAATACAAAAATAGAACCTGGCAGGTGCCTGCAAACCAGCCCATTTTTCACTCATCCCCACCGTGGACAGAGATCCTTCAATGCCTGAGGTGTTGTGTATTCCTTATAATAACCCGATGAAGTTGGTACAGATTGATTATCTCCTTCTTATAGGAGATGGATCTTGAGCTCAGAGCGGTCAGTTAACTTCCCCAAGAAGAGACGCTCTGCGAGTATTGGAGCTAAGCCTCAAGCCCTGCTTGCTCAACCCCAAAGCAAGGCCGTTACTGTCTCCCATCACGGTTCCCTAACACGGCAGTTCCGGGCTGGAGGAGACTGTGTCTCCAGGGCACACTGACACCCCATGGGACGAGGAAGGTTGTTGTTAAACACGCCAATGCCCGGGACAGTTCCCCACGGCAAATAATTATCTGGCTCAAATGTCAACAGTGCCAAAGCTGGGAAACCTGCTCTAGCAGAACATTAAAAAAAAAGTCCCACTGAGTGGGAGAAAGAGCACTCACCTTTCGGGATCAGACACGGTGTTATCTGCTACCATTGCCTTCAAAACATCAGCGTTTGCTAAGGGGAAAAAATATAAAGAATTAAAATAGGATGAGAACGATGAGGAATCATAGAATTATCACATCAGAGAAGTTGTTGGAAAAAAACACCTGATTGCATTCCTTCAGTTCATAGATGAGGCCCTGGGGTCCCAGGAAGGGAGGGTCTCCCCCAAGGCAGCCTCACGGTGTGGCGTCAGCTGCCAATAACTTGCACCACGCAGGAGGTTAGTGCTGAGCAGCAGAGAACCCACAGACAGGAAAGCAGGTCCAACACGGAGCTCTGCGTCCTGCACATCATCACAGTGTAACACAGGGGACACTTCTTCCTCCTCTCGAACACGCCAAGGCATCCAGCTCACTTGACTAAGCTATGTCTTATGAGACTTGGATGCCAGTGGTTTCTGTGTGCCCAAAGAATAACCTCTCACCTCTGAATACCTGTCTAGTATCAAGTTCATCCCACATACAATATTCCATGTGGGCTCTTTGGCTTTCCTCTGCTTCCTGCCCACACCGGACCTTAACTCAGGCCAGATGATTTAAAATTCCAAGGGTTGGTCACACATACAAGTTACCTAATATGGACCAAGTTAAATTATACTCCTAATGGTTTTTTTAAAAATCTATTTTGTATATGGCGGTCAACAAAAGCAAACTGAAGCTAAGCTTCTGGGGTCCCCGCCTCAGACACACACAGGCGTCTGTTCTCTTGCCTCTTCTAGAGGGAGTGGCCAACCTCCCAAGGATAAAAGACTGAAGGGGATGTTCCACTTCCCCTTGAATACTCAACTGGCAAGGCCACGCACTATTACTGAGTCCTAACCTTCCACTGATTTTAAAGCACTGTTTTCATGATGAGCCACAACAAATGCTCTAGGGGTAAAAGAATAAAAAGTAACCACTCACCATGTAAGCTAACAACAGCAACACTTAATGGTTAACATCTCGAATAACCCCAGTACTGGGGGAAAATTTACTCTGGTTCCAACTGCTGCTTTTACACATTAACAGTGAAGGGTTTACACGGTGTTTCTGAACTTTTTTTTTTTCACTGTTGCCCCACCTGGGAATCTTTTTTGACATTTTTTTCCTAGTCATCTTCCCATGAAATAAATTATAGCGCTACAGATATACCTTTTAATGTACTATATGTATACCTGTGTGTTACATACAAATATTAAGCTTTTGCCCCTACAACCTAATTTTCACCCCACTGGAACCCTTGCGAATGTGTGGGTTTAAAAAAAATATGTTCATATTAACACAACATACCATTCTTTTCTAAAAGGAACATTTTTTTGCCCTTCATGACTATCTGTGAGGATGTTCTAATGCAATCCCAAGCGCAATTTTGCTCTAAGTAAGTCTCCTGTCCTAACAAAAAAGTCCTAAACGAGGTCGTCAGTATCTTCTCCCACATGACAAAGACGGCACATTACCCTCTGAGAGACAAATTGAAGTCTATTTTAGTGATGTCATTCATTTTACCCTTTGACTAATACTAAGATTCAGAAAAATAATTTTCTTTCAGAGTTTAGTGAATACACTATAATTTGCCAGTTGACACTTCTCCTCTGCCATAATTTACCAAACTTAAAACTATAAACAGAAAAGAGAAAAAACCACCACAAAAAAAGGTATGAAGACAAAAATAGCACTAATAGCAGTCACTTACAAGAATGAGGCTTTCAAAACAAAAGTTTAAATAGTCTCCTGAGAAAATGAATCACCTGTATAATGATAACCTTCTTTAAAAATATGAAGTTATAAAATGATCCCAGGAAGGTTATGCAAATACATTAAAATCATTACTAAAACTTATTTTTTATAGACTTGTGTTCTCATGTACTCATGTACCTCACCTTTAACTCCTAGAAATAATTAGTAAACAGTCTCTTTGTTTATCATGAGTGAAATCTTTCAGAGTAGACACAAGCTTCTGTGCAAAACCATCCACACCCAGCCTGTCTGAGGAAGTTTGGTGTGCAGGATGAACACGCTCACGCACGCATGCACGCACACACGCACGCACTCCCTTTCACGTCTCTAGTCTAACTTCCAGTCTATACCAGGCAGTGAACTTCAGCAATCTGTGCCTAAGGAACATTTTTGGTTTCCTGTAACGAGGAAACTTCCTAATGCCACCATTAGGACTTGCACACATGATTTAATTTGGTTGTAAAATTACTGTGAAAGAGCAATAATCTGACTAAATCCTACTGAATATACCTCTCCTTGCACAGTACTCGTAACCCCAACAAGCCATGAAGGAGGGCTTCTTCCAGACTTGTCAACATTCTGTCCGTCAGCACAGCGCCCCCTGCGTGGGCTTCCAGAGAGCAGGGGAGTGAGTACCAGGAAGAGGAAGCCAGCCGAGAACACGGGAGATTTTCCCATGGACAGTCATTTCCAGGAAAACCTCCCTCTCTTTCTCCCGACTTTCTGCCTGATGATAATATGCATAAAGCAATCAAAATCGGGCAAGGAGAAAAAGAAGCCCTGTTTTCTCTCCCACCACTATTCTCTACACAGTTTTTCCTTACAATCAAGGCAGATTTCCCAAGCAAGAACAGCTGTGGCCATCAGCGAAGTCAGGGTGCCTGGATGTGCCAGGCACTGGCTGAAAGTTTTCCTGACCTCGCCACATGGGACTCTCCCAACAATGCTAGCAGCAGGTAGAATGACGACCCCCCGTTTTAGAAACACAGAGACTGAAGCCTAAAGGTTATAACTGGCTGGCCAGAGTCACACAGGTAGTGACAGACCTGGACACAACCCTGGTCTCTGACTCCATTTCACTCTGAACTCCTGGAGGAGTTCTTCCTACTCCTCCAGGTCTCCACCCCAATGAGTAATAATTCAGTAGTTGACAGGGTGTTTACAGAATCATTACGGCAAGTTTCAGAGGCCTACAAGAGTTTATAAAGGAATCTCTTTTGCCATAACACACATTGCAGTGAGAACTTTGTACTGAGATCCCTCTGCCTGGTGTGAATAATCAGGGGCATGTGAAGAACAATTGCAATGCTCTTATTACTACGGCAGACAGTTGAAGGGCCTGGAAGGGAAGCTCAGCTCTGGAGTTGCAGGTATTTTCCAAACTCCATACAATGCAAAACAAAAAAAAGCAATCAAACAAACAAAAAAACAGTGACCTTGCAAACACACATCAATTCAGCTTCACTTAGAAAGAAAAATTAAAGGTGGCACTGTAGTTAGTCCAAGACTTGAGATTAGGAGGAAAGTAATCAGTGCTCAGGTCATCCATCCTGTCCTCTGGAAGGATGATGAATTCATCCTTCCAGAGATACTTATCTAAACTAACCTGATTTGCAACACTCAAGACCTGTTCTGTTTAAACCATAAACATAAGACTGTTGCTATGAGTACAGGTGAAATATGATCCCATTAGCCGAATTACAAATGCAAAGCAGAAGACTAGTCATACATCACAACTGCAAATATTTTAAAATATGCACATATAGACAAAGAAAACCTAATAAACATGGGGAAATGGTAATGCATAAATTGTCCTTAATTTTATTCCTTTTTTCCATTTTAAAAGGTTATACTATGGTATGCTTATAATTAAAAAGAATTATAACATTAAATTGACACCAACAGAGAGGTCTAAATTGATAGTTAAGTTCAATGTCTCAATGACAGAAATAAAAGTTATTAGATTTGTTCTACAGAATATTTACATCTCAAAGGAAAACTGAAAAAGCTAGGTTATAACTGGTAAGACCCAGGTATGTTACTAATCTCCCCAGCTGTGGTTTGCGCACAGGATGGAAGCCAGAGAAGGCCACAGCTGGAAAAGGGATGTGTGGGGACCAGATGTCTCCTGGTGGCCAAGGAGGACCAAGGGCTACACTAAGGATCAGAATCTCCACCCTTGCTCACAAGTCCCCGGCCAAATCCCAGGCAGACAGATGAAGGCATGGACAGGAGAAGAGGGTAGAGAATCAGACAGAATGGAGCAGAGGAGAAAGACTGGACACAGCGCCTTGGATATCGCTCTATCAGGCCTACTGGGATTCAACGCAGCTGAAACACAAAGGCTACTCTCCAACAGGGAAAGGACATGACTAAAAAAGAAAAGAACAGGCCTAGTTGCCTGTGAGTGTCGGGGGAAATTATATAGGATGCTTGCTGCAGGGACCCAAGTGCTCCCGGGCTGTGCTGGCACCATCCTGCCACACACTGGCTGTGAGACCTGGGGCAAGTTTCTTGGCCTCTGGGCCTCGGCTGCCCCATCTGCAAAATGAGGTGGTAACAGGGCCTGCCTCATAAGGCGGTTCTGAGAATTTCATGTGTTAATGTTTCTAGAGTTTTATAAACCACCCCAGCTGTATACTTTCACCCTCCGAAAGGAGGAAGTTCACCATCCCTCTCTCCTGCTTCATAAAAGCAGCGGCAACCGCAAGTGGTGAAGTGTGGGCCCAGGAGTCAGATGCTAGAGCCCCTGTCTCAGCTTCGCCTCTTGTCAGCAAGTTAGTTAAGTAGTGTGGGCCTCAGTCTCTCAACTGTAAAATGGGAAGAAGGTATAGGAATCAGAGGGTTGTAAGTCCCTGCAAAGCCCCCAGAACAGGCCCAACACCTAGCAAACGCTCAGTGCGCACAGTGAACTTATACCTAAGCATTCAGCCCCTGGCAAAGCCCCCACAGGTGACCCCCTTTGACCGATTCAGCCCCTCACCCTGCTATCTATAACTTAGGAGCTGCTCAGCCCTCAGAAGCCAGGTCCCGAAGGCCACCGAGCCCCTCAGAGCCATGGGAGGCAGCTGGGAGTGCACAGCACAGGAGCAATGAAGGACCATCCCCACCTTATGCTGTGCACTTCTGTCACGGCTGAAGCTCCTATGTGCCAAGCACACATTTGTGTGTTGCTTATGCAAATGAAAAACCACTTTTCTCCATGGAAGAAACGAGCTCAAGAAGATTATCACCAACTATTGTCCCCTGAAGAAAGATCTCCAGAAGACAGATTGAGATCCAAGCGTTCTGGGGTTTTTGTTCTTATTTTAAAAACCACTCTATTAAATTTGGTTCTGTGGTTTTACATCCTGCAGAAACTGAAAGCTACACATCAGAAGAAAGCAGAGGCAACCTTGTACGTTGGAGAGCAGCCCAGACAGAACGAGGCCGCTCACCAACCACGGGGACTCAGCACCTGGAGCCCTGGTTTCTTCCTCTCTGAGAGGGAGGCAATGCTAACTTGAGAGATCTTTTGAGGATTAAATGAGATTACGTACACAAAGCATCTAAATCTATGCCAAATACATAAAGTACACTGTGCAAAGAACAATAAAAATTATGCTGAACCCTGTGAAATAGCTATTTCTGCAAGTCAGAAAAGTGGCCCGACAGCCTGGGCCAGGCAGACGCTCTTGTTGACATGGGGTAAGGGGGTGGCAGATCCCCAGAGAAGGGCTGGGGCAGAAGAGGGGGCATTTACCCAGCAATGCCCAGGTATGTCAGCTTCTGGACAAGTGGCCCCGTTGCCTCAGTGCCACCTCGTGATTAAGCACTGACAAGGAAAGACACCGCCCACAGAAAACATCTTCAATTCTCATGAGAACTCAAAGTGGCTGCCACAATCGGGTATGTGGGCCCGGAGCTGCACAAACCCCAAAAGTCACCATGGGCCTGAAATCACCCTGTGGTGACAATAACCAGTATTCAGAGCAATGACCCTAACGCATCTAATCAAGATTAAATGAACCTTCTGTTAAGAAGATGGAGGGTTTAGAATAGACTTCAGAGGGGGGAAATGTTTATATTGATAAAGGCTAAACTTTTACAAAGTTTCTATGTGTAAGCATGGATCCTGGAACAGACGACTCTGTAGACACAGAGAGCGGAGTGGTGGGGGCCAGCGGGCGGTCGGGGACGGAGAACGGGCAGTGACTGCTTAGTGGGCGCAGAGTTTCGCTTTGGGGTGACGACAAAGTTCTAGAACCAGAGCGTGGTGATGGCTGTACAACACTGTGAACGTACTTAAGGCCAATGAATTATGCACGTTACAATGGATTTAACAGTAAATTCCACACTATGTGTGTTTTACCATAACTTTTTTAAAGTGCAGAAAAGGGGCAGATGATATTTGAGAGCTGTCATACTAAGCACTTTATGTTCAGTGTGTCGCAACAATGCCATGGGATAGATATTATCACTTCATTTCACAGACGAGGAACTGAGGTACTGTGACTGTCCCCAAATTGAGGCCAGGCCAGGATTCAAAGGCAAGCCGTCACCTCCGGGGCTGACTCCGCGCCCCTCAGGCCAACAGATGCTTAGAAAACTCACTGACTTGAAACGTCCCTGGTGGGACAACACTGGAAGCTGAGTTAGATAAAAGGTGCTGCCAATAACTTCAGAAAATTGACAAATCCTGACTCTTCCAAGCTGGTTGCTAATAAAACGTATGAACAGTGAATTGTTCTGGAACACGAAAACAGCCATACCTTCATTTTTCATAATGTACTGGACAATTTGCCCAACGGTGTCACTGTTTTCATTTATGCTGTCATTCAACTCTGAAAGAGAAAGAGGAGGGGATGAGGGGTTACACTGGTCACCTGCATCAAGTCAAGGAGACATTAGTTTCAGAGCCCAAGACCTCGCTGAACAGTCTCCAGAAAACTCAGCCAGTCGCCCCTCATGCTAAGGAACCCAACTTCCCTCCTTCAGCCCCAAACTGCCTGGCGCACAGCCCCCGTGACTTCCTTGCCCCAACAGACATAAACAGTGGCAGAGCTATCCATCAGTCTCTTCTCAAGTCCAACCCCACTCCTTCTCCAAGACTCAGTCCACAGCACTAATATCTCTCTCAGCACTTCATTAGACCTTTGGGGGTAATGGAAAAAAGCTAATTGAAAGAAAAAAATTCTTCTTGGACTATTTTAATTGCAATGAACTACATAAACATAGGGTATTAATTTCTTTATTAAATTGGGTAACATAATACCCATCCATGTTTTAAAAAGTCTCTTTTAAATATCTCTCCAAATGATCTCAATTTTGGCCATGGTTATTTGCTCACAGTCAGTTTACTTTGGGAGACTTTATATGTAGTAATCTTTGGAAAAAATTATACCTATACTCTGAAACCTGTCTGTAATAATTTGTTTCAGTCAAACAAGAAGGTCCCTGAATGGTGTGGCTCAGGGGGTTGGGCGTCATCTTGCAGCCCGAAAGGTCACCGGTTCAACTCCCAGTCAGGCCACATGCCTGGGTTGCGGGCCAGGTCCCTGGCTCGGGGTGTGCTAGAGACAGCCAATCAATGTTTCTCCTCCTCTCTTTCTTCCTCCCTTCCCCTCTCTCTTAAATAAATAAGTAGATAAAAAATTTTCAAAACACAAAGAAAGAGGGAGGGTTGAAACACTCCATCCTAGTTCACAGAGAAGGAATCAAGGTGTGTGGCGTTGTAGCTGTGTGATTGGAAAAGTGTCTTCTCCCTCACAGCTGTCTCCTCCTCTGTGAACAGGCGTGTTTGCTTGGACAGTGCAAATGCTGGCTGCTAAGTCAACCCACAGAGTCTAGAAAGAGGAGGGGGAGGCCCCGCTTTCTGTTGACAAACACTCAGCTTTGGTTTGCTCATAGGCTGCACATGACTCATCCTGCAACCGAGCTCTCTCTCTGCCTCAAAGGTCAGTGGGGGTAGGAAAAGCCAACAGGCCAGCGAGCTGGCAAAAAATGAGGAAGTTCCCCCCACTCCACCCCTGGAGTTGGCTTGAAGGGTGACCTACTTATTCCAAATGTCACCTTCTGCAAAAACTGCCCTTTGAGAAGCTGAAAGGGATATGGAGAGGTGTCTACGACTCCCCAAAACCCAAGTCAGGATGGTTATCAGGAACACGCATGGAGAATGTCATCCCTGAGGGTTTTCAAAACCCTATCTAGCAACCTCGTGTTAAGAATAAAAGGTGAGTCACCCTGAAGTTATTACTAAGGCAGTTTTTTGCCATTCTTAGACTGCACTGGTCACAAATCATTAATTTGAACATAAACTCCGATCTCACAGACGTAAGAACTCCCTTAGCAAAAGTAATAGCTTCAAAATGGTGAGCTCTGTTGACTTTTCCCATCATTTAAATTAGAATCTAATTCAATAATAGTAGTAAAAATTGGTATTTACTGAGTGACCATCTATGCCAAACATCACACGTTATCTTCTAAATTTCACAGTCATCCAATGAGGTAGAGATTACTCCACTCATATAAATGAAATTAAAATTTAACTAAATCAGTATTAAACTAATTAAAAGTAAATTTCAGTTAAATTATACATAGCAGAGGTTCAAAGTACATATAACTTGCCCAAGGTCCCAAGGGAAGTAAGAGTAATGACCTGGCAGGTATTTAATGGATGAAAGCCAGGTTTCAAACGCTGGGTGTGGTTACTGTGCAATCCGTACTGACACTATACAACACCGCCTGCTGTTGACATGGATCATTTTCCTTCACAGAGATGGAAAAAATACATATGTATATATGTACCCGACTGGTTTCTTATTTAAAAATCATCCCACTCACACTCTCATTAAAATAATCCAGCTCTGGCTGATGTGGCTCAGTGGACTGAGTGCCAGCCTGTGAACCGAAAGGTTGATGGTTCGATTCCCAGGCAGGGCACATGCCTGGGTTGCAGGCCAGGTCTCCAGTAGGGGGCGTGAGAGAGGCAGCCGATCGCTGTTTCTCTCACACATCATGTTTCTCTCCTCTTTCTCCCCCCTTTCCCTTCTCTCTAAACTTAAAGAAATAAAATCTTAAATAATAATTAAAAAGTGGACACAAGACCTTTAAAAAAAAAGAATCTAGATTACTCACCTATCTTCTCCACTTTTTCCTCTTCCACCTCTTGCTCAGCTTCTGTCGTACAACGATAGCCTTTCTTCTTAAGCAGGTGGCAGATGAGGACACCAAAGAGACCCATGATGAAGAACACAGGGACAAGTGCGTATGCAATATATTCGGGGTGTCCGCCCTTAGCATTGTCGGTGGGCGAGGCTGTCGTCTCGGTTCTGGAGTGCAGCGTGCGGCTGCCACCGTTGTCTGCGGAAGAAAGAAGCGTGCATGGCTGCCTTAGCTGTCTGCAGGAGGCACGGAAATCCCAATAACCCGGAGAAATGTCCACGTTAGATCCCAGTCTGCTCCCCAAACCATGGGCCAGGCAGACGCTGGTGGGTCTGGAAGTTCCGGCCCACAGGGTGAAGGCCCAGGTGTGTTTGGGCTAACACAGTGCCACCCTGTCCCTGCTACTCATTAACTGAGTCCCAACCTGGATAGTGTTTTTAAAACCTCTCCAAAGCCATCTTCTGCTCCTTCAGCATGGAATAAAAGCAGTAAAGTGTCCGGCACAGAGTAAACACATAATCACTGAGTAGCATTATTAGCACAGACTCAGAAGACATGGATTCAAGTTCTGATCCCACCTCTTAGCAGCTGCGTGACACTGAACAATGACAAAAGTGATGCCTCGGTTTCAGTGTGAAATGGGCATACTAACAGCACCTACCCACCCTGCCAGGGGTTGTCATGGAGAGGAAATAAATTAATAATACATATAAAACATTTAGAACCATTTCTGTTAAGTAGTAAATGCCAAGCACCATTGGAGCCATTTGTGATCTGTCACTGGGCAAGAAGAACAAAGAACCTTGTCTCAAGGAGCTTCCTGCAAGGATTTAGTCAATTGGCAGATATAGAATAAGAAAAAGGGGAAAGTCCAGGATGGCATTAAGATTTCCGCCCAGGGGCACAGAGGCATAACCATTTGTCTATTTATCCAGTGATCCGATTTAACATTCATGGCATGCCTTTTATGTGAAAAGCTCCATGCTGGGAGCTGGAGAGAGAGAGTGATAAATAACATAACTTGGGCGGTGCCATCTTGGAACTTGTCGGGTAGCGTTGGAAACAGCCACTAAACAAGGAAGATACACATGGGGCACCAGAAGGAAAAATGACAGTGGGGACCTGTGGAATGACTTCAGAAAAAGGGCAGCTGAAAGGGGGCATATTTTGGAGAAAAGAATAAATTTGCTTTTAGACATGTCAAAGTAGCACATGGACATACACCAGAGGGAGTTGGATTATCTGGGCTGGCCAATGGGATGCAAGTTAGGCTCCTACCTAGGAAACTAAGTAACTTAGGTATGATATGGTCATTTAAGATAACAGAGAAAGAGACCTAGCTAGTGTGGCTCAGTGGATTGAGTGCTGACCTGCGAACCAAAGGGTGGCAGGTTTGATTCTCAATCAGGGCACATGCCTGGGTTGTGGGCCAGGTCCCCAGTAGAGGGTGCATGAGAGGCAACCACACACTGATGTTTCTCTCCCTCTCTTCCTCACCCTCTTCCCCTCTAAAAATAAATAAATAAATCCTTTAAAAAACGTAACAGAGAAAGAAATAAGAAAGAACCGACTGTGCAGGAAATCAGCAAAGTACAACTTCACAGACACAAAATGCAGACAGAATTATCACAGAGGGCCTCAGGTAGAATGAGAACTAAAGAAAAATATGGGCTTTGATTGAAATGAAGTCTCATTATCTAGAATACTCTCATGATGAAGTGATAAAAATGAGGTTTTCTACATCAAAAAGATTCATACATATTGCTTAAGAAACTCAGACATTAGAAAGCTAGAGACATTTAATTCCAAGTTCTCTCTCGAGTATTTTGGTGAAAAGCAATCTGTATTGTAAGGGTTACATGGGGGACAGAATCTGGTGTAGAATGACTACATTTTACCACGGCAGCAAACAGTGTCAAACAGCAGCCTAATCTGCAAGCCAGGGGGCATAGAACAAAGGGCTATCTCTCTCTCACATAGAAATATCCATTATCTTTGAACTTGGACATGAAAGGAAATTGCTAGTTTCCTAAGTTTGTATATAGCTGCATTCATTATCAGGCAACCTCTAGAATTTTGGATAACCGATATATTTTCAATCTATATTTTTTCTGATTTCTCCTCTAAGGATCAAAAGAATTATAATTCTAAATACGTTTTATGTATTGATTCCTTTTCACTAATGCTCATTTCATACACTAGGAGTAGGTGAAGCAGGCAGAGGCGCTGGGAAGTGGGGCCAAACAGCTCCTCCTGAACCAGGGGGTCGAGAACAGGTCTTCGTCATTAATTGGTCATCTAGCAAACCCTCGCAGATACCACATATTTACAGTGCATGTGACAAACATGTGTCAGTCATAATATCAAAATTATTCTGCCATGAAAAAACTGGGGAGGACATAAATCTAAATGAATGAAACATGAATTATAGAGAGATGCAATAGAGGCACTGAGGTTAAAAGGTCAAGACTGCTTGGTATAAGTAACAGCTTGGCTACTGACAGGGCTTGTCACCCCAGGCAAGTTATTTAAATGCTCTGTGTCCCATTTCCTTCTATGTAAAATGAAGTCAAAATGACTGTATCTTTCTATGATGATTTTATTTTTTTAAGATTTTATTCATTTTTTTTTAGAGAGGGGGAAGGAAGGTAGAAAGAGAGGGAGAGAAACACTGATGTGTGAGAGAAGCACAGACCGTTTTGCCTTTCACACGCCCCCAAATGGGGATCTGGCCTGCAACCCAGGCATGTGCCCTGACCAGGAATCGAACCAGAGACCTTTTAGTTCACAGGCCCGTGCTCAATCCACTGAGCCACACCAGCCAGGGTCTTTCTATGAGGATTTTAAAACATGGCTCCATTGTTAGATACAGCTCCCACGGAGATGTAGGATCTACATTTCTGCCCCCCTTGAATATATACTGTGTGTTGCCTGACCAAGAGAGCAAGTTGGAAGTGATCCTTTGTCAGTGTCAGTCATCAATTTGCCAATCATGTACTTGAACCATCTTAGAAGGAGATCTTACAGCCCCAGCTGATGTTCCACGGAACAAAGATAAGCTGTTTCGGGTGAAACCAGCCCAGATCATAGATTCCTAAGCAAAATAAGTGATTGCTGTTGTTTTAAGCCACTAAGCTTAAGGGTAATTTGCTCTATAGCACTAGTAACTGGAAGACTACCTCGTGGGGTCACTGTGAGGATGAAATATATTAATAAGGTAAGCACTTAGAATAGCGTGTAGGAAAAGGTAAAGCACTCTGAAAGTGTCTAGTGATCAGCTTGATAGAATGGCACTATCCAATATGGTAGCCATTAGCCTCAAATAGTTACTTAAACTTAATTAAAACAAGATAAAATTAAAAATTCAGTTCCTTGGTTGCACTAACCACATTTTAAGTGTTTGACAGTCATACGTGGCTAACTGGCTACTGTAGGGGACAGATCAGATAAAAAATATTTCCATCCACCCAAAAGTTGAATTGGACAGCCCATTATAGATGACATATAAAGAATCACTAAAAAGCAACATGTTGACTAGAGAACTACTGTGATCTACCTCAGCAATTCAATGAAGAATAAATTTTAAATTGCAAAGTATCTGTATTTTGCCATGTATAACATACACTTTTTTGCCCAAATTTTTGAGGGAAAAATAAGGGTGCATATTATACACAGGTAGTTATGATATCTAATAGGTATTATAAATGGGCCAAAAATGTGGGTGCATGTTCTACACAGCGAAACGCAGTAACTAGCCACAGATAACGCCTAAGTTACTTGTTAACTTAGGGAAGTTTAGCTTTCCTTCAATTCACGCTAATAATTTGCTTAAAGACACCATGTCTACCTTTCTCCTTCACCCCCAGCTGAATCATACCTGAATTAGGAACAAATTAATTATTTGAGTACAAATTAATGGCAAAGGTCGTTGCAGCATTATTTATAAAAGTCAAAAATGGCAGTACCTTCATGTTTGACAATGGAATTACAAGAACATCTAAGTCAATCATAGTCTACCATTTGATGAAATAAAATGCACCATTTAAATGCACCTGTTTATGAAGGTGGTGCAAAGATATGGGGAAACAGGTGAGCTCAGAGGTTGAATTCTGTAAGTTAGATTCAAAATCTTACATACGGTATGACCCAACTAGTAAAGAATGCTTAAAGGTATAAAATATACAAAAAAATAACCAAAATATTAACTTATCCTGGGTATTTGGATAATAGGATAATTTTACATTTTAATTGTATACTTTTCTGTAGTTTTCTATAATTTGTACAAATGTATTACTTTTGTACCAAGGTGGTCGATACTTAAAAAAAGAAGATATAAAGATGAAGCTGTCATAAGCTGGCAGACCCAGTGGGAGTAAATGTCTTTACCTTTTTGTAAACCCGTTGGAGGCTATGGTTCCTATTCCAAAATTTCACTTCCAATTTTTGTGAGCTCTGAACCCCAGTTAATATAAGGGCACGACGAAAAACATGATGCCCACATTTCTGCCTGAGCAACAACACAGTGGCGTTGGTTCCATTCATTGAAATAAGAAACATCTGGAAAAAAGTTTGCTTGGTGTCATAGGCTGAATTTCACCTCCCTCCCAATTCGTACTCTGAAGTCCTAACCCCGAGTATCTTGGAATGTGACCTCATGAGGAGACAGGATCTTTACCATGGTAATCAAGACACAATGAGGTCACTACAGTGGACCCTAATTCCATATCATTGGTGTCATTATAAAAAGGAGAAATTTGAGACAGACATCCACACAGGGAAAAACACCACATGAACATAAAAGGCAGAAATCAGGGTGATACTTCCACCAGCCAAAAAAATGCCAGAGATTGCCCGCAAACCACGCAAGGCTAGGAGAGAGGCATGAAAGAGATCCCTCCTCACAGCCCTCACAAGGAAACAACTCTGCCAACCCTGAGCTTGGATTTCTAGCCTCCAGAACCGAGACAATACATTTCTCTATTTTGAGCCACCCACTCTCTTGTACTTTGTTACAGCAGCTCCAGCAAACCAATATACTTGGCATAGAGAAGACGGGTATCACGAGTTCAGTTTGGGGCATGTGGAGATAGAGGTAAACAGGGGGACATTCAGATGGAAATATCTATTGAGCAACTGGATCTACTGCATAAGGAAGCAGAAGAGAAGCCAGGGCGCCACCCTAGGACACAAAGGAAGGG